TGTGGCAAGCACAGCAGCTAGCTGCAACCTAATTAACAAAAAACAGAAGTATTAACAGAATTCTTGATAAAAGTAGAACTCCCTGGTTCTTTAAACGCATAAAACAGTTGCTACCAGTCCAAATTTCTAGCTACAGTTTAAGGCTAGATATGGATTGCAGATGTTGTTAGATTTTTTTTTTTTTATAGAAAGTTCAGTTGTGCACTCAAATGTGCTCTAATGTAGTCAGTCAAAAAAATATCACATGTCAACTGCAATAACACAACTTTGTGAAAGACGTCGATGAAAAATGTAATAATTTCAGTGAAAATGCACATTAATGGAAAGAAAAGGTCTCCCAGGCATCCATGTCCATGTCTTTGAGAGAGATATGTTTGTTTTTTTTATTGTTGGACCTGTAGGTGGGAATTAGCTGGATAAATTTAAAAGGGATGGTTGGATCTTCCTTCCCTTATTATTCTCATGCAATTATGCGAACATGTGAGAAGTCTTGTACTGGCACCAGCAGGTCTCTGTAATTTTACCTCAAGCCAGGTCTGTGTGTATAACTTGGAATATGATTTATTGTGTTCATTGCACATTTTTATTACCAAAATTTGACAAATACTCAACCATCCACACCAAAACATGTGGCAGATCCTATGTGGTGTAACATTAATTACATATAAATTAATTTCAGAAACAAATCCAGAACACAGACCTGGAGCAGTTCAGGTCTTTGTAGAAGTCCTCAAACATGCATTCTTTTAAATGGCCACCCGGGGGTGATGCATGACTTCTAGTCTTGCAGTAGTTTATGGGACAAACTTGACCTCTGTAAACACTTACCTGATGAGTTTATGCTCTAAGTTACTGATTTGTGGACATGTTGAATAAAAAGTAAATCTTATAAAAGCAAAAGTAAATCTTTCAAAAAAAGAAGATTGTCCTCCTGGATGTTACTGAAAACCAACAAACAACCAAAGATGTTCTATTAAATACTTTGTGATACCTAGAAAAACAGCTTCCACACACCTTTAAGGAACTTTGTGGCTGGTGGGGATATACAGTTACCAAAGACAGTTAAACCGAAAGCTAAAAAGTGAATAAATGAATAAAAAATAAATTTGGGGCAGGGGGTATGATTAGAAACAGCAGCCAAAATTACATCAATAATTTGCTGCTGTTAACTATGACAAAATTATTGTAATCAGCCAGTGTATTTTCCCCTTGTTGATACTGCTCCCCCAGCAGACCACAGCATGGGCAAGCATGCTAGCAGCCACTGGATATTAAAACATCTGTATCATCGTTGATGTTGTCAACCTTTTCAGGAAGTAAAGCATGGAATGTCTGTTCCTGTAGATAAGGTTGGTATTTTGAGTCCAGTCCAGTTTGATTTCCAGTAGGAGCCTTTTATACTTTATGCAAGTATCTTCACTCTGTGACACTTACTAATTCAGAGACTGGCAAATAACATCATATTCTGATAATCCGTCTGTTTTCTGCAGGGACATGTATGTTTGCTCTTCCTCCTTTGGTTTCATCTTTTTTCTTGAGTTCCTGTGTGAGAAAGTAAAAAGACTGGGTCTTAAAAAAAAAATACCCAATGCGTCAACAGACCCTTTAAAACATGAAATTAAGTGTACTAACTCACCGAAAATGCACAAAGTAGATTATAAAGATGACACTGACAAGGATAGATACAGCAGCAATGGATACAAGAAATTTTACACTAATATTGCCTGACATCTCTTTATGCTCTACAACTTCTGTGCTGGTTACTGAAATTTGGGAAGAAAGAAGAGGAAAGTGCAAAATTACATGTAGTTTAACATCACATGATTTACACTGTTATTGCAAGGGTTGGCTCAACAACTTGTCAGCACTGATCTACTCCTACAACAACCACAACATAATTGCACAGAACTGAAAGGAAAAAACGTTAGGAAA